CATTATACTGACTGTGGATAATATAGAAGAAATTGAAAGACTCAAGAAAAGCTTAGCTACAGAATTCGAAGTAAAAGGTTTGAAACAGATGCGATACTTCCTAGGTATGGAAGTGGCAAGATCAAAGAAAGGGATTAGCGTTTCACAACGAAAGTACATACTTGATCTTCTATCTGAGACCAGTATGTTTGGGTGTAAACCAAGTGAGACACCAATGGAGATAGGATGAAAAGATGAAAGCACAGGAAAGCCAGTTGAAAAGGAGGATATCAGCGACTAGTGGGAAAATTAATCTCTTTCTCACACTAGACTTGATATTGTATTCTCTGTAAGTGTGGTCAGTCAACACATACATTCTCCAAAGGAAACTCACTTAGAAGCAGTATACAGGATTCTTCGATATCTCAAAGGTACTCCTGGAAAGGGATTATTCTTTAAGAAAAGTGAAAGAACAGAAGTAGAAATTTTCACGGATGTAGACTGGGCAGGTTCACGAGAAGATAGGAAATCAACTACAGGTTATTGCACCTCGTCTGGGGAAACTTGGCAACTTGGAGAAGTAAGAAGCAGAATGTTGTAGCCAGGAGCAGTGTTGAGGGTGAGTTTAGAGCGGTTGCACGGCAAATATGTGAAGGACTGTGGATAAGGAAATTGCTGAATGAGTTACAGGTTATGGCAAAACTTCCTATCAAACTCTATTGTGACAACAAAGCAGCTATTAACATATCTCTCAATCTTGTCAACATGATCGAAACAAACATGTGGAGATAAATGGACACTTCATTAAAGAAAAAGTTGAAAATGGGATTATATGCATGACCTATGTGCCCACCAAAGAACAAATTGCTGATATTTTCACCAAGGCACTACAGCGACAAAACTTCGAGGATTTCATCTGCAAGTTGGACATGATTAACATATATGATCCAACTTCAGGGGGAGTGTAGAAATCCCGTAATTATGGTGGGATTGATTGTGAATTGATTTATTATTGTATTACCATATTCAGACCCCATTTATTTCTCATTCTTTCCTCATTAAAATAAAAAATATGACCGTTATCCATCACACCAAATCTTCAAATTTGAATTTTTATCTCTTGTGTGGGGCCCGTAACGCCTATATTTTTCATTCTCACTCTTCCAAAAATGGAAAACTGTTAAGATTTGGGGTCCATCTTAATAAGGTCAACCTTATTAAGAGGAGTGACCGAATATCTATTTAAGTTGGTCAATATTCCGGTATTTAACCGATGTGGGATTTATTTCCTTAACATGCCCCCGCAAGATGGTGGCTCTTTTTGAGCAGAACAATTTTGAAATCCGTGTACTCATTTTTTAGACTTAATGGATCGAATAACTCGTTAGAGCTTTACTGGGCTCTGATACCATGTTAAGATCTGGGGTCCATCTTAATAAAGTCAACCTTATTAAGAAGAGTGACCCAAGATCTATTTAAGTTGGTCAATATTTCGGTATTTAACCGATGTGGGATTTATTCCCTTAACAAAAACAAACGGGGCCTAAGATTAGGAAATTTTATTTTTTCCTTACATAGACATTTACCTTATTTCTTCCTAGTTTGTACAATATATAAAGAAGCCTTGGATTGTAAACGTTATGTGGAATAACGAGAATTAGTTTTCACTTCTCTATTCTGCCTTAATTCACATAGATAATAGCAGAATAGAATATGTTTTCACTATATACCAAAGTGTAACATAAAATACCTCAAAAGCACCGCTAAAGGTCCAGCGGAGTTGGTTTGTCTTTAGGCGAGGAATGACAACAGATAATACAGGCATTGTAGGCCTGTACTTGGCTATTAATCTGCATTGAATTTAATTATCTGTGAATAATAGAATCGATTTCACAGTACTGTCAGAATATATACAGATAAAATCCAATTTCTTGAAGATATGCAATGATTGGACATTTCATTTTGATTTCACATTGCTGACCAACATGCACATCTCTCACACACGGGCACACGTACACGCACACCCACAGAGAGAGAGAGAGACCTTGCAGCTCTTCCCGATGACGTAAAGCAGATAATTACAGATGCCTTCACCTTGATGGCAGCTCGTACCTATATCAAACAAAAGCAGTATGTATGTGATTTCAGGTGAAGAACTACTTACTGAAGTAGTTCAGGTTTTATTACACACTACGTAGCCAAAACACATAAAATTAATGAGCAAAGAAGCGCAATTTGTGACTTACAGCTGAGGAAGCAATTGATTCTAAGTGTGTCATAGGTTCGCCCACATATTTAACAGTCTTCTTGAAGTAGAGATCCTGATTATAAACCTTTTCTGCCTGCACAAGAAAGCATGTTGAGAAATTATATTCAAGGCAAACAAATGGTTCTTCAAATTTCCAAAATTTGCCATTTGGTGGGACAGTGGAGTCAGAAAGAAAGCTGGGGAAGACCTCTGATCAGAACATCATCCATAGAACTGAGACACGAGCAAAATATCTTTCTACTTCACAGAATTATCCATTTCTAGTTTGGGGGGAGAGACAAGGGAGACGTAACAAATTTAATGGTGATGCTGATTAGCAAGGACGATGAAAATAGAATAAAGTTCACCTCAGCACAAATTTTACCAACAACTGAAATGGTATCAACAGGGTATAATCCACGGAGGGTCTCTGCACCTAAAAGAACGGCATCACTGCCTGAAACAATAGAAAAGGATAGAGGATAAGTTTTCACGTTGCCATTGTAATAGCTATCATAGATAATGTATGCACGGACAAAATGATCTCTCATAGTTGCAAACAAAAGAACATGTGTGAACTTTCTGCAGACACTCAGAAACTAATCAGATAATCAAGGATCCATTCTGAGTACTGAAAGATACCATCCAAGATAGCATTGGCTACATCAGTTGCCTCAGCACGAGTGGGTCGCAAGTTATCAGTCATACTGTCTACCACACGAGTGACCACAGCAGGCTTCCCAGCCATATTGCACTTGTAAACAGCTGCCTTTTGAAATAAAAATACCTGAACACATTAAAATGTTGTCAGAAACGGGCAATAAATGGTTCACCAACACTACAGTGATCGCATGAAGAATGCAGACATATCAACAGGAAGCCGTAAGGATTTTCAGAGGAAACCCCAAAATAAGAGAAAAGGGCAATGGATGTGTTGGTGTTTGTTCTTTCAGAAAGCTTGATCTTATAGCCATTATCATCTACTTTCCGCTCATTCTCTACCATATGTAAAATGCTACATTCACTAATCGAAGTGTAGCACTTTAATGTTAAAAATTTCTACGTACATCCAACTCCACTTGATACCCGGTCATTGGCAACATCTTCTAACTCGTTAAGTGCAAATAGCCTATATAAATTTTCATCTATTTGCCAAGAAGCAAAATATCAAGTTAGTATATCCAAATTTGAAATGGACCTTCTCTGGGGGGAGATCTATCCCTAGATTTCCACGAGAGAGGATGATGCCATCTGCTTCTTGGAGGATCTCATCAAAATGGGTCAACCCCTGCAAAAGAATGTGAGGAAAATAAAGACAAGATACAATTTCAGATTAAGATTAACGTGCAGCTTCTTTTGAGACCATTCAAAAAATTCTAACAGGCTTCTAACCTCTACATTTTCGATCTTCGCAAAAATCTGGGTTTGACTGAGGTCACCCAAGTTAGAAAGAAACTCACGAGCCTGCAGACCAGCAAAAGGGTCCACTGATTATTAGACACCAAATTGGAATAATCATAAATACGTAATTTTTAATGCCTAATTTATTTTGCGCCTGATAGTCAACAGAATATAAAACAATAATGAAGAATATAAGAGAGAGAAATGGATAGAAAGACAATAATAAAAACCAGAAACACTCCTTACATGTCTAACATCCTCTGCATGTCGTGTATATGAAAGTGAGAGGAAGTCTATGTTGTTCCGAACTCCCCAAGTGCTTATAACCTAAAGTTGTCACAGTGATCATGTAAACTCTAGATAAGAAACCAAAATTGTTTAGAGGCAGTTAAAGAAAAATAAAGCAACATGAGAAAGTAGTAGTTTCCAAGAGCTGCACATCACTAAATACTGGAACAGACATGAAATCTTAGGTCTTGAAAAATCCTGAATAAGCTCTCAATTGGCTATAGCATAGCGTACCTCCTTATCTTTATCAGTGAGAGTAGGAAGATCAATGCGAATCTGAGACACATGTAGCGTGTACAATGACACAGCCAAGGTGGCAGAATTCTTAATCATACAAACCACATCCTCCTCTTTCACCTCAGTTACCTGCACGGTAGGAACTCCATTATGCGTCAACATCTATGGAAAAGTCACATTGTAATCCTTCATTGACATTGCCTATCAGGAGTTGAAGTTCCCTCACCCAAATATTTAACCTAAGATCAACAAAAAGAATAATGCTAGATCCTAGGCCAACATACATCTACTACAGTAACATAATGGACGGAAACCAGTAATAACAGACATAAGAAATCAAATATTCCTGAGAATCAACAGCACACAAATATTGACAGGTGGGCACAATCTCTATTGTTTCCATACCTCCAGCCATACAGAAGTTGTTTCACTTCCTGAGAACAAGTATTGACCAATGAAAATAGTATCTCCCGGCTTTACTGCCTGCAAGGTAAGAAAACTGCGGTTATATTGTAACAGAAAGTCATAATGGTGTCCATCTGTGCGCAACAATAGGTGCTTGCATTATCAAGTGTAAAAATAAAAGTTGCAACTTGCGACCTTAAACAAAAATATGCAATTCACGTTCTAGCACAGACAAAGGCAGGGGAGAAAAGTATAAAAGACATTATCTTCTTTACCGAGTCGTGGTATCAAATAAAACAGACAGATATAAAGGAACTTAATAGAGAAAAATCAAGCACAGTGTACAAAAATATATAGTATTGTGCTAGCATCCATGAGATCTTCTACTACTTCAGCCAAGGATTAACTCCGGAGAAGTGCTCCATTAACTTACAAAAGTTAATTATTCACAGTTAATTATCCTTGCCTCCTATTTCTAGGACTTACTCTTACTAAATTTGCAAGTACAAATCTGGTTTATGTAAAATTATCCATTTGTAATGTCATGGAATTTGCAAGAGAGATTTCACACCAATATTATTACCTTTGATAACCCACCAAAATTAATGGGAAGCAAGTTTGAAGTGGCTTCTTTGTCCAGATCAGGAGTTAGAACAACAAGGGAATCCGCCTGAAGTGAAATAGGATGTTCAGTTTTGTTGATAACTTGTAGCTCTGGACCCACAGTGTCCAGCATAACCTGTTAACAGAGAGAAATTACTGGCTCACAGGTCACACTACCTGGAAGATAATTCTTCGTTTATAGCACCAAAAATGAATAGGAAATTTCAAGCTTACCGCACAGAGCTTTTTTGTGCTCTTGATGCACCCTTTCAAATTCTCTAAAGTCTCTTGGTGAAATTCAGCATCACCCCACGAAAAATCAAACCTTGCCACTGTTAATTAAAAACGTGTATCACAACAAGTCAGTAGAGTGAAAATTCAACTGTTATACTTGCTTAATTGTAGCCATTAAGCATGTGTTAAATTAATAATAAGCTTTAGGAAGAAAAGAAAAATGTAAATCGTTGTATTTGAACTCTTAATCCACAATAAATGAAGCTTTCAGTCCAAACAATAAACTTCTAAACTAATGCTCGCATATAATATACAACTATAGAAAAGCTTCTGTTTTCAATCTCATTAAATAGAAACTGTAAATAAAGAGCAAAATTCAATAATTCGTACTCTCTCAGTGCTCCTACTTTTGTACTTCGTTAAATAACCGAACGGAACTCAAATGTGATTTACATTTCAATAATCATGGAAGTAGGAAATACAAGAGAATAACGAAATTACCAGACATTCCAGCTTCAAGGCATCTTGAAATAATTTCAACGGATCGCGATTTCGGCCCGAGCGTCCCTACTATCTTCGTCATCGCAGGAAAGAAATTCTGCAGAGAAATTTCCATTTCCACTTAAGAAAAACAGAAATATGGAAATTTTACAAGTTAGAACAGAAATCAGATAGAAAACATTTAGCTGTGGTAAAACGGGGAAAAACTGACAGGCTTTGATGGCTCGAGGATTGAAGCCATCCGTATAGGCTCTTCAAGAAGCAAGTGACTTGAAACCATTTTTTCCGATTGGTGAAGAAGCGATCGCTCAAGTGTTAGTTTAAGTAGAGGTGGCGGTGGCCGTGGATTGAGGGAATCTGTGGTAAGTTAGCTTGAGTGGTAAGTTGAAGAAAAGGCGATTACTATTTAAAAATTCGGGTATCTATTAGTAATATTTTTTTCCAACTTGTCCAATTTTAAATTCATGTAAAACCTTTACAAGAAAAATACTTTTCAATTCTTGGTTGTTCTTCCGAATAAGTTAAATTTAGCTCCTGTTTGGCCCATTAAATTAAAATTTATCTTTTTCTATCCTCTTATCAATTATACATATTTCAATAAAATATATTACACGTAAATTTAAAATTTTCTTTCTTTTTCAACCAAATATTGTTCAAAAAATTGCTATTCCCCTATTAAAATGTAGAATAATTGAGTCTAAACAGGGGCTTACTTTTAAATTAAATATAAGAGGGTTTGAGCCATATTATTTTGGTAATAATACATTCTTGAATAGTGTATTAATGAAAAATTTATGATTAAAAAATAAGGAAAAATTTTGAATTTACGTGTAATATTATTTTATTGAAAATGCGTGGTTAAAATGATATCAAATCACTATTTAAGAATGCATTTTTTTGGAATAATGTGGCTCAAACAAGGGCTAAATTGTTATGTTGTTTATCTTCGTCCCTATTTATTTCAGTTTAAAATGTAAATTTAAGTCGACGTTAATATTTAGCCCTTATTTGCTAGAAAATAAAATTAGTATTTTAATTTAGTACTTATTTGGTAGGGATTTTGATAATTGATTTTTTGACCGTTAGAAATAAATGAGTCCTACCTGTGAGACAAGAATTCAAAAATGACGGTGGGAAGAATGAAATAACGGTCAAAAATTTAATTTCAATTGTCTTTTAAACTCTACCAAACAAGCTCTTAAATTAAAATCAATAATTAATTATAATTATACATTTTATAAAACCCACAATTTCTCAATTATACATTTCATCTTTTCTACCAAAATCTACTAAAAATATTATTTTAATTTTCACCAAATAAGGGCTTAATTTTAATCACATACTTCATTGAGGCCTACAATTTTTTAATCATATATTTGATCAACTTTAATCAAAATCTTTTTTTTTTATTTTATTTAAACCAAACAGGGACTTGTTAACGAATATTAGTAAATCACATCCCTATGAAGACTCGGATATTTGTTATTAGGTGATTGCGTTCTATACTAGCATATGTTTGAGCACTCATTCTTTAAGATTTATTTTGTTAAAACAATATTTTCGATCACATAATTTTTAATTTATTGGATATACCTTCTCAGAACATCATCCATAGAACTGAGACACGAGCAAAATATCTTTCTACTTCACAGAATTATCCATTTCTAGTTTGGGGGGAGAGACAAGGGAGACGTAACAAATTTAATGGTGATGCTGATTAGCAAGGACGATGAAAATAGAATAAAGTTCACCTCAGCACAAATTTTACCAACAACTGAAATGGTATCAACAGGGTATAATCCACGGAGGGTCTCTGCACCTAAAAGAACGGCATCACTGCCTGAAACAATAGAAAAGGATAGAGGATAAGTTTTCACGTTGCCATTGTAATAGCTATCATAGATAATGTATGCACGGACAAAATGATCTCTCATAGTTGCAAACAAAAGAACATGTGTGAACTTTCTGCAGACACTCAGAAACTAATCAGATAATCAAGGATCCATTCTGAGTACTGAAAGATACCATCCAAGATAGCATTGGCTACATCAGTTGCCTCAGCACGAGTGGGTCGCAAGTTATCAGTCATACTGTCTACCACACGAGTGACCACAGCAGGCTTCCCAGCCATATTGCACTTGTAAACAGCTGCCTTTTGAAATAAAAATACCTGAGCACATTAAAATGTTGTCAGAAACGGGCAATAAATGGTTCACCAACACTACAGTGATCGCATGAAGAATGCAGACATATCAACAGGAAGCCGTAAGGATTTTCAGGGGAAACCCCAAAATAAGAGAAAAGGGCAATGGATGTGTTGGTGTTTGTTCTTTCAGAAAGCTTGATCTTATAGCCATTATCATCTACTTTCCGCTCATTCTCTACCATATGTAAAATGCTACATTCACTAATCGAAGTGTAGCACTTTAATGTTAAAAATTTCTACGTACATCCAACTCCACTTGATACCCGGTCATTGGCAACATCTTCTAACTCGTTAAGTGCAAATAGCCTATATAAATTTTCATCTATTTGCCAAGAAGCAAAATATCAAGTTAGTATATCCAAATTTGAAATGGACCTTCTCTGGGGGGAGATCTATCCCTAGATTTCCACGAGAGAGGATGATGCCATCTGCTTCTTGGAGGATCTCATCAAAATGGGTCAACCCCTGCAAAAGAATGTGAGGAAAATAAAGACAAGATACAATTTCAGATTAAGATTAACGTGCAGCTTCTTTTGAGACCATTCAAAAAATTCTAACAGGCTTCTAACCTCTACATTTTCGATCTTCGCAAAAATCTGGGTTTGACTGAGGTCACCCAAGTTAGAAAGAAACTCACGAGCCTGCAGACCAGCAAAAGGGTCCACTGATTATTAGACACCAAATTGGAATAATCATAAATACGTAATTTTTAATGCCTAATTTATTTTGCGCCTGATAGTCAACAGAATATAAAACAATAATGAAGAATATAAGAGAGAGAAATGGATAGAAAGACAATAATAAAAACCAGAAACACTCCTTACATGTCTAACATCCTCTGCATGTCGTGTATATGAAAGTGAGAGGAAGTCTATGTTGTTCCGAACTCCCCAAGTGCTTATAACCTAAAGTTGTCACAGTGATCATGTAAACTCTAGATAAGAAACCAAAATTGTTTAGAGGCAGTTAAAGAAAAATAAAGCAACATGAGAAAGTAGTAGTTTCCAAGAGCTGCACATCACTAAATACTGGAACAGACATGAAATCTTAGGTCTTGAAAAATCCTGAATAAGCTCTCAATTGGCTATAGCATAGCGTACCTCCTTATCTTTATCAGTGAGAGTAGGAAGATCAATGCGAATCTGAGACACATGTAGCGTGTACAATGACACAGCCAAGGTGGCAGAATTCTTAATCATACAAACCACATCCTCCTCTTTCACCTCAGTTACCTGCACGGTAGGAACTCCATTATGCGTCAACATCTATGGAAAAGTCACATTGTAATCCTTCATTGACATTGCCTATCAGGAGTTGAAGTTCCCTCACCCAAATATTTAACCTAAGATCAACAAAAAGAATAATGCTAGATCCTAGGCCAACATACATCTACTACAGTAACATAATGGACGGAAACCAGTAATAACAGACATAAGAAATCAAATATTCCTGAGAATCAACAGCACACAAATATTGACAGGTGGGCACAATCTCTATTGTTTCCATACCTCCAGCCATACAGAAGTTGTTTCACTTCCTGAGAACAAGTATTGACCAATGAAAATAGTATCTCCCGGCTTTACTGCCTGCAAGGTAAGAAAACTGCGGTTATATTGTAACAGAAAGTCATAATGGTGTCCATCTGTGCGCAACAATAGGTGCTTGCATTATCAAGTGTAAAAATAAAAGTTGCAACTTGCGACCTTAAACAAAAATATGCAATTCACGTTCTAGCACAGACAAAGGCAGGGGAGAAAAGTATAAAAGACATTATCTTCTTTACCGAGTCGTGGTATCAAATAAAACAGACAGATATAAAGGAACTTAATAGAGAAAAATCAAGCACAGTGTACAAAAATATATAGTATTGTGCTAGCATCCATGAGATCTTCTACTACTTCAGCCAAGGATTAACTCCGGAGAAGTGCTCCATTAACTTACAAAAGTTAATTATTCACAGTTAATTATCCTTGCCTCCTATTTCTAGGACTTACTCTTACTAAATTTGCAAGTACAAATCTGGTTTATGTAAAATTATCCATTTGTAATGTCATGGAATTTGCAAGAGAGATTTCACACCAATATTATTACCTTTGATAACCCACCAAAATTAATGGGAAGCAAGTTTGAAGTGGCTTCTTTGTCCAGATCAGGAGTTAGAACAACAAGGGAATCCGCCTGAAGTGAAATAGGATGTTCAGTTTTGTTGATAACTTGTAGCTCTGGACCCACAGTGTCCAGCATAACCTGTTAACAGAGAGAAATTACTGGCTCACAGGTCACACTACCTGGAAGATAATTCTTCGTTTATAGCACCAAAAATGAATAGGAAATTTCAAGCTTACCGCACAGAGCTTTTTTGTGCTCTTGATGCACCCTTTCAAATTCTCTAAAGTCTCTTGGTGAAATTCAGCATCACCCCACGAAAAATCAAACCTTGCCACTGTTAATTAAAAACGTGTATCACAACAAGTCAGTAGAGTGAAAATTCAACTGTTATACTTGCTTAATTGTAGCCATTAAGCATGTGTTAAATTAATAATAAGCTTTAGGAAGAAAAGAAAAATGTAAATCGTTGTATTTGAACTCTTAATCCACAATAAATGAAGCTTTCAGTCCAAACAATAAACTTCTAAACTAATGCTCGCATATAATATACAACTATAGAAAAGCTTCTGTTTTCAATCTCATTAAATAGAAACTGTAAATAAAGAGCAAAATTCAATAATTCGTACTCTCTCAGTGCTCCTACTTTTGTACTTCGTTAAATAACCGAACGGAACTCAAATGTGATTTACATTTCAATAATCATGGAAGTAGGAAATACAAGAGAATAACGAAATTACCAGACATTCCAGCTTCAAGGCATCTTGAAATAATTTCAACGGATCGCGATTTCGGCCCGAGCGTCCCTACTATCTTCGTCATCGCAGGAAAGAAATTCTGCAGAGAAATTTCCATTTCCACTTAAGAAAAACAGAAATATGGAAATTTTACAAGTTAGAACAGAAATCAGATAGAAAACATTTAGCTGTGGTAAAACGGGGAAAAACTGACAGGCTTTGATGGCTCGAGGATTGAAGCCATCCGTATAGGCTCTTCAAGAAGCAAGTGACTTGAAACCATTTTTTCCGATTGGTGAAGAAGCGATCGCTCAAGTGTTAGTTTAAGTAGAGGTGGCGGTGGCCGTGGATTGAGGGAATCTGTGGTACGTTAGCTTGAGTGGTAAGGTGAAGAAAAGGCGATTACTATTTAAAAATTCGGGTATCTATTAGTAATATTATTTTCCAACTTGTCCAATTTTAAATTCATGTAAAACCTTTACAAGAAAAATACTTTTCAATTCTTGGTTGTTCTTCCGAATAAGTTAAATTTAGCCCCTGTTTGCCCATTAAATTAAAATTTATCTTTTTCCATCCCCTTATCAATTATACATATTTCAATAAAATATATTACATGTAAATTTAAAATTTTCTTTCTTTTTCAACCAAACATTTTTCAAAAAATTGCTATTCCCCTATTAAAATGTAGAATAATGGAGTCTAAACAGGGGCTTACTTTTAAATTAAATATAAGAGGGTTTGAGCCATATTATTTTGGTAATAATGCATTTTTGAATAGTGATTAATGGAAAATGTGTGGTTAAAAAATAAGGAAAAATTTTGAATTTACGTGTAATATTATTTTATTGAAGAATGCGTGGTTGAAATGATATCAAATCACTGTTTAAGAATGCATTTTTTTGGAATAATGTGGCTCAAACAAGGGCTAAATCGTTAAGTTGTTTATCTTCGTCCCTATTTATTTCAGTTTAAAATGTAAATTTAAGTCGACGTTAATATTTAGCCCTTATTTGCTAGAAATTAAAATTAGTATTTTAATTTAGTGCTTATTTGATAGGGATTTTGATAATTGATTTTTTGACTATTAGAAATAAATGAGTCCTACCTGTGAGACAAGAATTCAAAAATGACGGTGGGAAGAATGAAATAACGGTCAAAAATTTAATTTCAATTGTCTTTTAAACTCTACCAAACAAGCTCTTAAATTAAAATCAATAATTAATTATAATTATACATTTTATAAAACCCACAATTTCTCAATTATACATTTCATCTTTTCTACCAAAATCTACTAAAAATATTATTTTAATTTTCACCAAATAAGGGCTTAATTTTAATCACATACTTCATTGAGGCCTACAATTTTTTAATCATATATTTGATCAACTTTAATCAAAATCTTTTTTTTTTATTTTATTTAAACCAAACAGGGACTTGTTAACGAATATTAGTAAATCACATCCCTATGAAGACTCGGATATTTGTTATTAGGTGATTGCGTTCTATACTAGCATATGTTTGAGCACTCATTCTTTAAGATTTATTTTGTTAAAACAATATTTTCGATCACATAATTTTTAATTTATTGGATATACCTTCTTAAAAAACTCTTTTTTAACAAAATTCACGCTAAAAAAAGGGGGTCGAAGAGGGGGCTAGGATTAGAACAATTTGCTAGAAATAACCAAAGCAGGATGGGTATAACAGTATAATTAGGCAATATTTCCCAAGTAGTCCCTTTTTGGTACCTTGTTATTGACGTTATTTTCATGGACGAATATTAAGTCCCTAGTAGATATTGAAATTAGATTTTAGTAAATTTTAATAAAAGTTGATGATATATATGGTTAAAAAGTCGTAAATTTCATAAAATATGTGGTTAATATTAATTGTTGACTTTTACTTAAGTTGAATTCTCTACTAAACACGAGCTAAATTAAAATTGAATGAGATGGACAAAGAATTGATTAAATCACTACTAAATCAGTTTGATTTGCTATATCAACTACTACTCGATTTGACTTTTTAGCCATCAAATTGATGGTTTCTAAGATGGGAATCATGCTTGCATAATTTTGAAAATTTAATGTGCTTTTCGAATTCTCAAAATCTCAAGCAATGTTGACTTTTTTTTATGACTCAGGTGTCCAAGCTATGTTTGGTTAATCGTGAGAAGTCGCGACCTTCCTCCCTGGTTCGCCGCCCGGGTAAATCCAAATACGATCACAGTTTATAAACACTTTGACAGAATATTTGAGATCCGTTCTCTTCCTTGTGAACCTCTCTTTATGACGTGCGTACAGGACCTCCAAGGGTGACAAAGCACATCATAATCATACTGCCATAGGACATCTACCTTTCAACATAAATGTTGCCTGTCAGCTACCGTGGGATTCGAATATCCAATGCTCTATAGGAAATCTTTTTGATTTACCACTACGCTATGCCCATGGGGGCAATGTTGACTTTTTATAAGTATTTTACATGAATTGTACTTCTAGTTGCCTTTCTATCTACGCATGTGTTTTGTATCAACTATTGGAGCTTAAATTGCTAATTTAACAAGAGAAAAATCATTTTATAGTAGTTATAACCCAATTAATTTCTATTGAGCATAGTTTATTATACTAGGATCACATGGTTCGACTGAAAACCTAGTGACTCAAACTCTATTTAGGTCTAATTGGTATATGTGGATCAATCGGTATTTAAACTATTCATGACTAGAATGAATCGAAATAGTTTTGCAAATTAGCTTTATTAAAGCTCAGTCTTTTATTAAAGAATAATGTTATATAGCATCAACTTATATAGCATTATGTAATATGTTCAATTAAAGGTCATTGTAACTTTCATTTAATGACACTTACTGTCACTTAAATTAGTATTGCAAAATATTAAAAAGCACACTATTTACTATAACCCACGATTACCCTTTGAAAAATTACAATGTGATTCACAAGTTTTGAACTCTAATTCCGGGGTCGAAGATGTGGCCTATTTTCCCCTAGGCTGCATTCGTTGTTTGATAGAATACGAATACATATATAAAGATATCAATTTTTAAAAAATAAGGAAAAATTTTGAATTTACGTGTAATATTATTTTATTGAAGAATGCGTGGTTGAAATGATATCAAATCACTGTTTAAGAATGCATTTTTTTGGAATAATGTGGCTCAAACAAGGGCTAAATCGTTAAGTTGTTTATCTTCGTCCCTATTTATTTCAGTTTAAAATGTAAATTTAAGTCGACGTTAATATTTAGCCCTTATTTGCTAGAAATTAAAATTAGTATTTTAATTTAGTGCTTATTTGATAGGGATTTTGATAATTGATTTTTTGACTATTAGAAATAAATGAGTCCTACCTGTGAGACAAGAATTCAAAAATGACGGTTGGAAGAATGAAATAACGGTCAAAAATTTAATTTCAATTGTCTTTTAAACTCTACCAAACAAGCTCTTAAATTAAAATCAATAATTAATTATAATTATACATTTTATAAAACCCACAATTTCTCAATTATACATTTCATCTTTTCTACCAAAATCTACTAAAAATATTATTTTAATTTTCACCAAATAAGGGCTTAATTTTAATCACATACTTCATTGAGGCCTACAATTTTTTAATCATATATTTGATCAACTTTAATCAAAATCTTTTTTTTTTAATTTTATTTAAACCAAACAGGGACTTGTTAACAAATATTAGTAAATCACATCCCTATGAAGACTCGGATATTTGTTATTAGGTGATCGCGTTCTATACTAGCATATGTTTGAGCACTCATTCTTTAAGATTTATTTTGTTAAAACAATATTTTCGATCACATAATTTTTAATTTATTGGATATACCTTCTTAAAAAACTCTTTTTTAACAAAATTCACGCTCAAAAAAGGGGGTCGAAGAGGGGGCTAGGCTTAGAACAATTTGCTAGAAATAACCAAAGCAGGATGGGTATAACAGTATAATTAGGCAATATTTCCCAAGTAGTCCCTTTTTGGTACCTTGTTATTGACGTTATATTCATGGACGAATATTAAGTCCCTAGTAGATATTGAAATTAGATTTTAGTAAATTTTAATAAAAGTTGATAATATATATAGTTAAAAAGTCGTAAATTTCATAAAATATGTGGTTAATATTAATTGTTGACTTTTACTTAAGTTGAATTCTCTACTAAACACGAGCTAAATTAAAATTGAATGAGATGGACAAAGAATTGATTAAATCACTACTAAATCAGTTTGATTTGCTATATCAACTACTACTCGATTTGACTTTTTAGCCATCAAATTGATGGTTTCTAAGATGGGAATCATGCTTGCATAATTTTGAAAATTTAATGTGCTTTTCGAATTCTCAAAATCTCAAGCAATGTTGACTTTTTTTTATGACTCAGGTGTCCAAGCTATGTTTGGTTAATCGTGAGAAGTCGCGACCTTCCTCCCTGGTTCGCCGCCCGGGTAAATCCAAATACGATCACAGTTTATAAACACTTTGACAGAATATTTGAGATCCGTTCTCTTCCTTGTGAACCTCTCTTTATGACGTGCGTACAGGACCTCCAAGGGTGACAAAGCACATCATAATCATACTGCCATAGGACATCTACCTTTCAACATAAATGTTGCCTGTCAGCTACCGTGGGATTCGAATATCCAATGCTCTATAGGAAATCTTTTTGATTTACCACTACGCTATGCCCATGGGGGCAATGTTGACTTTTTATAAGTATTTTACATGAATTGTACTTCTAGTTGCCTTTCTATCTACGCATGTGTTTTGTATCAACTATTGGAGCTTAAATTGCTAATTTAACAAGAGAAAAATCATTTTATAGTAGTTATAACCCAATTAATTTCTATTGAGCATAGTTTATTATACTAGGATCACATGGTTCGACTGAAAACCTAGTGACTCAAACTCTATTTAGGTCTAATTGGTATATGTGGATCAATCGGTATTTAAACTATTCATGACTAGAATGAATCGAAATAGTTTTGCAAATTAGCTTTATTAAAGCTCAGTCTTTTATTAAAGAATAATGTTATATAGCATCAACTTATATAGCATTATGTAATATGTTCAATTAAAGGTCATTGTAACTTTCATTTAATGACACTTACTGTCACTTAAATTAGTATTGCAAAATATTAAAAAGCACACTATTTACTATAACCCACGATTACCCTTTGAAAAATTACAATGTGATTCACAAGTTTTGAACTCTAATTCCGGGGTCGAAGATGTGGCCTATTTTCCCCTAGGCTGCATTCAGATGGGAATCATGCTTGCATAATTTTGAAAATTTAATGTGCTTTTCGAATTCTCAAAATCTCAAGCAATGTTGACTTTTTTTTTATGACTCAGGTGTTCAAGCTACGTTTGGTTAATCGTGAGAAG